TATTCTTTTTTCAATGAGGTCTTAGAGTATTCATCATATACAAAACACAAACTAAAAATCATCTCAATGCAGTGTGTTGCAATGTTATAAATACACGCAGTGATTTGTAATTATACACTTCAGTAAGAGCGGAATTTCTTCCTAATCCGGGATTTTAGTCTTAAGGCTCAAATTGAAACAGGTGGCGTTAGAGTGTGTAATGGGATTTCTTTAGAACAAATTGTTTTACATGTTATATGTAAATCTTTGTAATAGTGTATACATTTAACAGCAGGGCTGCTAATGACTGTATTACGACAGGGGTGCTATCCATTGTGAGTGTAATCTATATACTACCATGTGTTTCCCACTTAATAAATTTTCGAACAATGATCAGTTTCTTCCATGCATCTCGTCTGGGGGGGGGGGACGACAAAAAAAAACGTTTACAGCCCTCCCCGCCCCGCCCCCCCCCCCAAAATCAAAATGGAATTTGTTTTTACCAGTGTTCTCCCCCTAGGACATTTTAGTCCGTCATCACCCTCCCTAACAAAACATATTAAGCCCCCCCCCCCCCCCCCGGGAAAAAATGACTTTAAGAAGCACAAATATTGCTCACCTAAAAATCTTTCCTCAATAACTAATTCCTGTTCTCCTGTTCCCAACTAAGCTACTAGACACTATAATCTGCTCCAGCCGACATCGATCACGTGATCAAACTGTATAAATTTCGGCTACATAGCTAAATCCGTTTTAAAGTCTACAGGCATACACAGGTGCAAGTAGTTCAGCTTTACAGAGGTAAGGAATATACAAATATATGCAAACACGTTTTTATATGCATTTTAGAAAATTAATTCAGTAAAATGTTGTTTTCCAAGTACTTATTTTATATAAATATATAAATATATATATATATATATATATATATATATATATATATATATATATATATATATATATATATATATATATATATATATATATATATATATATATATATATAATGTATTTTTACATATTTTTAAGATACGTACTGCATAGATACATTTTAAAAATAGATATTTCCTAATGTGTTGCTTATTACAGGATCAACATGAAGTCAATGATCGTAGTTCTCTGCTATACTTTTATAGCAGGTACCTTTTGTTCTCCTTACAGTTTATTTTACATGTGTTTGTCCTGGTATATATAAACTGTGTTAACTAGAACACTAGATGAGTTTTTAGCTGCCAATCTCCGTTTTAATCAAGCAGATACAATGGCAATTGTTTTTAAAGAATTTTTTTTTATCATAAACAATTACCATACTCTTAAGGTAAAAAATTTTTAAATGTTCTATTTAGCCTATATAGAGTAAAATTAATTACACTTTTATCAACACAGTAAATACATTTATTTATTTATGACTAATAAACCCGCATTCTGTTATCTTGTTTTCAGCAATGGCATCAAACAATGACGGCGATGGAGGAGAGCTATTTAAACGCGTTTTTCTGAAAAGGTTTTTGTCTGTAATTATAGTCTCGTCATAAATATAAATATGTATTAGTTAACTCATTTATTGGTATTTAACTAAGCGAAAAACGCAACAATTTATTTATAGTTTACGTAACGCGTTACAAGACTGCTATTGAACTTGACAGTCGACGTGGTGAAAAATGAAAAAAAAAAAGATTACAAAATTTGACAAGGTTTTTAAACTGTTACCCGAATCCGACAGGTCGCGATTAGACATCTGCCAACATGCGACAATAGACTGAAACTATTGTGTTTGTATTTTGTAGCCAACATGCGACAATAGACTGAAACTATTGTGTTTGTATTTTGTAGCCAACATGCGACAATAGACTGAAACTATTGTGTTTGTATTTTGTAGCCAGCATGCGACAATAGACTGAAACTATTGTGTTTGTATTTTGTAGAAAACACTTGAGAACAAATCCCTGTAGATAAAAGAAAATCCGAAATAGTTTCTGATATATTTTTATGTTGCTTGTTGCTTTATTACAGTAAACATCTCAAACCGCTCGATAAAAATTGTTATACCTGGAGTTTAATCTACTTTTTGAATGTATATATCAGATACACGCCCCCGTGCGTTGATAAACGAGAACCCTGCAACTTAAATGATGAACTCTACACATGCTGCAAAGGTTTGGTATGCGGGTAAGTTTTAGGCCTACGCTAATGACACCTTGTTAATGAAATGTATTGAAATTAGTCACAACATGTTTCATCTCGTATATTAATGACGTTTAATGCGACATGCCGTTTAATCTAGCTACTGACATGTTGTGAGTGATTTCATGTTGTAGATACGCAGCTAGTGTTATTTTATTACTCCTAAAGTATTGATTCATTGAGCGATACTAAAATCATTTATTTGAATCATCAAAAATTAGAAATATTAATGAACAGTCATATTGGTATGGAACATGCCGTCTACCAGCTTAGTTCAAAGATGAGCGGCTCTCTGTAGAAGAACCAAAGAAACGTTACTGCACAACAACATAGCAGCGTCAATAAAATAAAATACAAATGAATTCCTTGTTCGTTTTATTTATGAACTTGTAACCGTTGATAAATATTACTTAATGTGTTTTGTACAAACTCTGATTTTACAGTTGGTTTAATGTAACTAACTTTATACAATGAACTGCAAATCTATTATAGTCAATATAATTATAGAATTGGAAAACAAATTCGAAATCAATGTCAATATAGAAAAAAATAGTGGCAAGCATACGTGGTTAGATTTGTAAACTGCTATACAACGAAGCTTAATGTACATTTATAATTACAAAATAATATGAGCTGTGTAAGTATAATGTTATGAGGATTGAAAGCAAACATAATATAAAAAATAAACAAAAAGAAAATAGTATTAGCCTGCAAAAGCTACTTAACTAAAAAATACATTTAGGATTGAAGGGAGATAATACAAATAATTATGATTATAGCCAGTTGTATTTCTTTTCAGCTTTAGCACTCTTATAAACCATACTTTAAGATTTGATATTGTAGCTAGCCAAGTTTTAATTAAAAAAATATGATGTAGAAGTTGAAAATATAAATTTATTCTTGACTATAGCTAGTTGATTTGAATTACATTTTGATTGTTTACGTGATGCAACCATTTTGTGGGCTATTACCAACATCCGCTTGATCAGTAGGCGTGGTGAGAAGTTGTTGTAAGCATCCGATATAAGCTATGTGGCAAAAACTAAATGTTGGTATAAAAATCAAATATATGTGGTAATGGCTAGATGTTGGTGTGAATATCAGATATAAGTTGCAATGACTAGATGTTATTGTGAGCATCGGATATAGATGTGTCAGTATAAGTACCATCTAAAAGCAGCAATGGCAAGAATTTGGTGTAAGTACTAGATATATGTAACAATGGCTGGAATTTGGTGTAAGTACTAGATATATGTAACAATGGCTAGAATTTGGTGATACGTGTTGAAAATATCAAACAAAAATGTTTTGACTTTCAGAGTGTGTAGAACTTTTGCTACGAAACGTCAAACACTCGAAGTCTAGTGTGTAAGTTATACAAGCTTTTCATTACAATCTGTAGAGTTGGTTATTATTAATGATTGAAAACGAATATCGGCACGTAAGCTATACAAGCGTTTCATTACAATCTGTAGAGTTGATTGTTATTAATGATTGAAACCAAATATGGATACGTAAGCTATACAAGCGTTTCATTACAATCTATAGAGTTGGTTGCTATCAGTGAATGAAAATCGGCATGGCTCGCTGGGTCAGGGTTATAGAGGCAAGAACATTAATAACGACTCACGCCCAATTTTTTTTTAAATGAAGCGTAGTGGGTTTATTGAACCGTGGCCGTGTAACCGGGTACATTAAATCCTTTAATCTATATATATAACGAGCCGACCCGCGGCGTATCATACACCGCTATTTAGTTGTTTTATTTTCTACTTTTCAGTAATTCATAATTTGTGAATTCGGCAGTACCAATTCTGCCACTGAAAATATTTGCTTTAAAACTCTACCCCCCCCCCCCTTTCCCCCAACCCCTACCCTACCCCCCCTTCCCCCGTGAAAGCAGCCTCCTCTTAGTTACTTCCCCTAAGTTTAAAATCGTTTCAAACTAAATTATTTGCCCCTAAGAGCCGTCACTAAACCCGGCTCTATGATTATAAACATTTAGCGTGACCACAGCTCACCAGACAATGTGGTGGGTGGGGGCGGCTGGTATAAAATGTTTCATTTGCGTTACATTGTTAGCGACGGGCTCCGAAGAATATACGTGTGCATACAAGCAGTTATAAAAATCATATAAACCTGCATTGTAATAAAAACAATATACATTGCCTAAAACAACAAAACATATGTTACATGTTCATTTGATCTCGTTTGCTTAGCGCTTAATTCGTTTGGCTTAATCCAAATCCCGGATTAAATCAGCATCTGCACGCACCCTGCACGATAAGCAAAGTACAATAGGACATTTTATATTCATAAACATAAAGAAAAGTGATTGTTTTTACACCCAAAGCAATAAAACCCTTTTCAAATACGTGGCTGATGTAATCAAAATAATTTATAGAATTTCAACTCGAAGGTAGTTTTAATAGCGACGGATATAGATTTTAGGTATGTTACGCTGTGTGCTGAATTCTTGCGTTTATTCATCATTTTTACCCGTACCTAACCATGACGTAAGGGGAAGGAAAAAAAACGCCGGCATACAAGAGGATAGTGATGTCAGTAATATGCCTAACCGTCAGTCAGGTAACCAAAAGAGCTGAGTGGATTCAGGGGCGTGGCCTAGGCTTTTAACCCGAATATTTAAAATCGGGATCCAAGTCAGTAGAACGTTTGCTACCCAAGTCTTATAATTATCTGACACCAATGCGAATGGAGTGCTTATTGTTTTGATGTAGCTTTGTATTATTTTTTAAACATGGCATTTACAATGTTTATTACTTTAAACGCACGCAATCAAGTCAACTTTTTTTTTTATTTTACTGAAGATTGTTGTGTATATTTCACCCAAAGCGCATAAAAAACAATTGGAATAAGCTTGTCACCGCATTGCTGCTATCTGCAGATTCATCATTCACATCTTCTATGCTCGTGTCTGCGACATCGTCTTCTACTGCCTCTGTTTTCTGCAACAATAGATTTCTAAGTTTTTATAATATTCTTATAAATCAATTTTATTTTAAATGTGTTGATATCAAGCTATGGTACAAACCAATCGAATATTGTATTTTATACTTTAAATACCCGTTGTTGCATGTTTTTTAACGGAAAAATTCAGCTGTTAAGGAAAAACAACAAAAGTTCTTTTTCTTTGCTTTTTGTTTGTTTTGTAAAGTCGTATAGAATGTGTACATGGTTTACTGTTGAATAAAAATCGTATTGTGTAATTATAAAATAAAGTAGTCTGTAACCAAATCAAACGGCTACAGGTAATTGTGAATCATAAGTTATAAAATTTAAAAAAGGAATTATCAATGGAATACGTAATGCATTGATCATTTACGCTATGATTAAACATGTATATACACCCATGCGTTTCACCGCAATGGATTGCTCAAATAATTCAACAAATCAAATGATCAAAGATTATTTTATTTATCTTGTAAACGTCTATATGGAATATCCCAGAAATGAATAAACCTAGCCGAAACCTTCTCAGGATGTAAGCACGATAAGTAATCTTTAAGATAGCAATTGTGATATTGTATTAACTATGTGCATAAAACAGAAATGATTTTCAGTACGTTTTTATTTAAGTAGTTGACAGGTATTTTTCAACCGTTATAATAACAATACGAAACTAAATATTCTAACTATTTATCTCTGAACGTGATAAATTTTAAAGAAATCCTAGAATAGCCTAGAATTTAGCAGCTATGTGTTCTTGCATTTATAGTCATATGTTCAATATTCTCAGTTACATAATTAAAAAAAAATGTCACTTGTAAAGTTTTGAATATGAATGTATGAAATTTTAAAACTAAACGAAAGCTAACTATACATTATAATATTAAGAATTTTTTTTCTTTAATCGAAAAGGGAAGTATAACACTTTTTTAACACATCAAAGTTTAATGAAAATTAACTATACTACTGACCTCTGAAGCAGTGGCATCTTTCTTTAAGGAAGCAGTTATAGAATTTCGCTCATTCCTCTGTTGAACCGCGGGTGTCGATTGTATTTCGGGTAGGCAAACGACAAGAACGACAACACAGAGGATTGACATGGTGATCTTATGCATCTTCTGTAAAACAAAACAGAGCAGTCAAGTGTCAACTGTGACACATTAACCTCAAAAATCTCTGAAAATGCATGCATTTTTTCGATAATTAAATCGGTTTTATACTTATATATATATATATATATATATATATATATATATATATATATATATATATATATATATATATTACAATTACATTAAGTTGGTTATCGTATGTTATATATTTCTTGTTGAGTTTGAAATAAAGTAGGCCTATGTCCCCAGGAACATGAAAATTAACTTTATATAGGGACGGACTATTTTTATGTAAGGGAAAAATATTTTGATTGATCCAAAGTACGCAAATACAAAATCAATATTCATATTTTACGATAAGATAGCGAATCATGACTTTGGAGATTATGAAAAATCCATTACTTAACACACATTGTTGTTTATAGTTTAATTAATCCGGAGGTTATTCATCACTAGAGGTTCTCAAACTTCAATACCCCAAAACACACGCTATTCGTGTTTATTGAAATGTTTTCTTTTAGTGTTTACCCATATTTTAAATACGCTAATTCAAAATAATAGTTTATATATAAATAATGGCTGATTAGTTACTTTAATTGCTGGAAAATAAAATACGTATTTGGCCTTATTAATAGCTTCAAGTTGAACCACTTAGTTTTAGTTAAACTATATTATTTACCGTTCTCAGTTATTGCACAATACACAATGCCCGGTAAACCTTCGCCAGATAGTGTCATTTTAACTTTCAGCAGACTTAGTTAGGAGCTTAATACAATATGTCGGTTAAGCTAGAGTTAGCGTGCAGTTAAGTTAGTGAGTTCGCGTTTTAAGTAAGGTGAAGGGAAGTTCAATATATTAAAATGGTTGAATGCAGTGGCAAAGCTCATTTAATTTTAACGCATTAGAGTAGTTACAATGAGATTGTAACGATACATGGGATTCTTAACAGGGAAACGATTGTTACGATACATTGCTGATAGTTACATTGAGACTATATTTAGATTGCATAAAAGTAAATCTATATAGATAATTTTAGGTAACGTATGTACAAAAAAGGGGATGGTACTACATAAACAATAACATTTTCTGCTTTGTTGCATTAAACTGAATAAATAAACTTAGCAACGTAGATACTGAAACACGTATAGCTTGAAATAAATTTAAGTTTTTAGTTTTGTATCTTTGGATGTTCTCCAATCCACATGTTCTGAATATACAACATCTTCAAGGTTATATTCAGCATCTAGTGGTAAAAAAAATGTCAATTACGCGTGTGTCAGGTTATCTAATCCTATGTTACCATCTGTAGAAATGTACACGCGCTATGATAACAAGGAAGTATTAAGTGGCTACTGAAAAAATACCCCATTAATTATTTGCTTTAGTTCGCAAAATTTAGCAGCCATGATGGTATCTCTTAAGCTTGGATGATCTTCTAAATCAGATTATAAATCTACCAATAAAATGTGGTGCGAGGAAAATAGTTTCGTGGCCAAAACTTCCCAAGGTCGAAGTTAATGAGTAAAATTGTTACGTTATCTACAGTGTAAAAATGAAAAGCAATGTGTTTTTATGTTTGTGAATAAGTTTTTTTTTTAAATTTTGCTTATATTTATGTATTTTATACTATACCATCCTAAAAGCAATAAATATTTTGTCTGAGATTATTTGTCTTTGGTATCATTAGCCCTGATATATTTTGTTCTGATATCTCTTAAACATAAGATCATTTGTCTTGAAATCATTCGTCCTAAGATCTTTGTCTTGTGGTAATTGATTCATGAGACATTTTGTCGGGGATATTTTATCTGAGAACATTTGTCCTGAGATCATTTGTAATAGAACCATCGCAGCTTATAATGAACGAAATATTTATACAGTCGGATAACTTATCATTAACTACTCTTCCACCATCCACAGCAAGTTCATTGAGTTAGCGTCAAGCTCATTTATTCATGTCAGACATTTGTGTTCAACTAAAATCGATGATTTTATCACAAAGAGTTCATTCAGATTCAGCTTATCAAAAAGTATTTGCAATGTATGCTTTTCGAACAATAAAATTATTCCATTATTTACCTTCGACATTTCTGTTCTGGGAAATAAGATGTTTAAGTATTCTGCTTAACAGTTCGTCGACAGTAACTAGGGGGTTTTGTTAGTATTCGATTAAATAGAACATTGTAAATCTTTGACGACTGCCTATTAAAACAGCATCAGCTATGTTTGACTTTTCAAACACACACACACACCCCTAACACACACACACACACACACACATATATATATATATATATAAATATATATATATATATATATATATATATATATATATATATATATATATATATATATATATATATATATATATATATATAATCATCTTTTATCTTAACATTGCCTAAATATAAAAATATATTTAACAAATGTTACGCTTATTTGACTAAGGTGTCCAATTTAAATCACAAATTTGGTACTTGAATTTCTTGCAATATAAATTAAAACTGATCTAAAAATCGTACTTTATTCAAGAACATTTGCAATGACGTTCAAAGAATGATTGCAAAAGAAGTTATTACAGTCCTGTTATAGCGACTGGGCTGTTTTGTCATTTTGTTTATTTTAAACTTCTCTGGTGACTATAATTGTATCATCAATTTTATATAAATGATATGACAAACAATACAGGAAGAAAATAATGTAATATATATATTAAAAGCTATTTACATCAAATTATGTATTATCATTTAAATCATTCAAAATACTTTTTTAAAGTAAGAAAACTTCAAATAGTGTATAAAACTCTCCCGCTTTTATAATAAATAGGTCTACATTAAAGCGCATTTTTAATTATATATTATTTAATACACAATAATAAACTGTCTACGTTGCAAATATTTTAATATAAGTACAAATATCAAATGGGGCTAAATATATATCTTGTCTGTGGTCACCCAATTGATAGCATTGTATAAACTGAAACGACACTCCACAATTTGTAAAAGTTGTGTAAAATGTTCTCTGTATTTCTTTACATTACCAACGTGTGTTTGGGGTCAGGTAGTTTACTGAACGCAGCGCTTTACAAACCCGCCTGGGTGAGCTCTTTGATGCCACAAACTACTTTTCCAACACTAGCTGAAGGCGCTAACGATGGATCTGATGATACGAATATCTATAACAGACATTGTTCTCATTCAAATATTGATAACCCAGGATGGTGGATGGTGGATCTGAGAGGTCTCTACATGGTGGAGCAGATAGTTCTGGTCAACAGGTAAGGGTGTGAGTACTTATTACATTTCTTAAATACAAATAATACACTTTTATATTAAATTAAATATTTCTTTGTTTAATTTTCTTTTTACATTATTTTTCGCTTTTATTCAAAGTAAATGTCGATAAGATTGTTATAGGTTACTATTGTGATAATCTTTGATGTATCGAATATTTTGAGGTTGGATCCCAGGTTCATATACGCAGGGAAATTAAGACAACTTAAGCTCTCATGTGTACCGAATCACGTTATGGACATACACACACAAACATAATTAAACGGATGAACATAAACGAAAATGTTCTTACCGTACGAATAATATAGAGACGCATACTCACTGGGACAACCTTAAGACAACTCCAATCTTTAATAAATTGGTGAAAATAGAAGTGGTAAGCTCTACTTCACCTGGCCCTATGGCCTTCAGGTTCGAATAGTTACTTTAAATGTGTGTGGCTATAGATATACACATATATATAAATATATATGGATGAATATAAACGAAAATGTTCTCACCGTACGAACAATATAGAGGACGGATATTCTCAAAACAACGTCAACAATGAACAAAAATAATGGAAAAAAATGTTATTTTATTTGGATGAACGTTTTCTCTATCGACATAACATAATCTTCTCTCGTCAGAGGTGACGATCTAGCATCAGCAAAACGAACACACAACTTTACTTTCGACGTGTTTCAAACTGACCCACGGCTATCACGTGATTTCCCTATCGCACCTGGTCAGGTGTGTTACAAAAGGCTGGAATATGTAGGACAAGAAGAGACGCTCACACAGAACTGTACTACACCAATCTTGGGAAGATTCGTCAGATTTATAAGGTTCGTTGCAATTAGTTTGCTTTAATTTGTTTATAATAGGTTTAATGAATTTATTTGTTCTAGTTATATATAAATACAAATTTAAGACATTTCTAAATATATATTAAGATATGTTTATTATTTTAAACAAACCACACGTACTTATATTATAAATATTAGTAGTACAAGAAGGCATTTTAAAATATACAGTGTAGGCCTATATTCCGATATAATACAAGCGTTGTGTGATAATTAGTGTGAATGGTCTTCATAACGCAGTTTAACACAAACGATAGAATACACACATTACAAATAGCAGTTTATTATATAAAAGGAACACATTATTATAATCTTTAAATTACTGGGAACCATTCTAAAATTGTTGGTATTGTAATTTAGGCGTGCTAGCTTGTTTAAGAGATGAGCAGTTTAGTAAAGACATGTTTCCCAAGCGTTGAATTGACAGATAGGTGGTTATTGGTTTAAAAAAAAACAGGAAATGGTAAATTAACTGGCAATTACTTGAAGGTAAAGATAAAAAAAATCATTTATCAGCTTTATATTTGCACGGTACAATTGCAGCAATTTAAATTAATTATAATTACTAGAAACACTCGATGGATATGATATTTAGAGTGAAATATACATATAAATTATTTTCTTTCAGATACACGCTCGAAGCTCTAAATTTTTGTGAGATAAAAGTCATGGTCAGCTCTGCAGCCTACAAGGAAAACACATTTTTTGCTAGAGCCAACTATTTCCTGCAAGTGCCCCCAATCTTTGTAACCTACACCCCTGACCCCCTGACCTGCACCTCCCTGTGTGTACAACGTCGTGACAGTGAGACGTGTACAGCTGTCAACTGGGTTAGGACCACGACAGAATGTCAGCTGTTAAACGTCAACCCAAGACGTGTTATTTCACTGTCTCCAAACTCTAGCACTGTCTTTTATATAGAAACTTAAGTGGTGCTAGGAGCATTCACACAAAACCACTTGCCGAAACTTAGTTTTTAACGTTTTAGAAAAGCATTTTCTTAATATTGACTTTTTTTTTTAAAAATGCGATTGTATGTATAAACAGTTTGTAGTTTTAGTTTTCGATTTTTTAAATTAAAAAAATTACAATTGTTT